CTAAATGAAAATGTAAACAATTGTTTCTCTTTTGTTTGGGGAGGGAGGTGACATGCCAGCAGAATCAAGTTAAGACATTTTCCGAATTTTTGACACACCGAGCCCAAAAGATTCACCATCACTGGGTTAATCTGTTGGAATAGGAAGTGTTGAGACTCAGGTTCTAGTCCACCCTCGGCCATGGAAACTCCCTGGCTAGCTTTGAGCCAGTCACTCACCTCAAAATACTGCACAGGACTGATTTTGTGGGAAAATATAAGGGGAAGGCATGCATTGTACACCATCTTGAGCTCCTGGAGGGAAAAAATAATGCAGAGTTGTTGGTGCTCTCTGATGATGTTACCCAGTTAGGTAATAAAATGTACATTTCAAACAAACAACCAAGCTCAGAGAGCACTCAGATTCCCATAGTTCAACCCTTAGCTACAGATATTCTCTTCTATTTAAAAAATGAACTTCTCACAAACAAAACAAACAGCCCCTGGAAGAAACACAAAATCTGTCTTGCCCATGTGTATGACATGATCCCCTTCTGACTTTACATCACTACTGTGATTCCCATTGCTGCCTTCACCCATCCATATGTTAAATATTTGCTCAACCACCAAATGATTGCCCAGGCTCTTCCTTAATGTATATAGGTCACTATTTCCTCTCTCCCATTAGTTTTATAGATGTATAGGTTCCATATTAAGCCATTTTCAAGCTTAGGGATTGGTATCTGCAAAGGCCTGTAACATAATTAATTCCACACATTTTCATATGAACTGAAGATTCAGGATGTTGCAATCAGTCCTATTTAGCAGGAGACTGAACTTTGTGTGCTCTTTTGTAATTCTTTTAAGCAGATGATTAGGATTTTTAAACAATCAAAACAGATAAATGCATACAAAATAAAATGAAAGTATCATATAAAAGGAACACATATACTATGTTAAAGAGATTGACCAAGAAAAATACTATTCACCAGTGAAATTCTAATCTGTAGCTTTTAGCAGACGTTCTAAACATGTTGACATTGACTGGAAATATTTTGGGAGTGTTTTTTATGAAATATCCAGGTTGTGGCTCATGCTTATTCATACTCAATACAGTAATCTCATTTATTGAGACACTGTGTCTGTCTGTTTTTTAATAGCTTGTAGTTAATGCCAAGTGACTAATACATCACACACACAAATGCACACACATTTGTGCACAAAACTAACAAAAGGTAGCAGTTCACTGCTACAGAAAACAGGAAACAGATACTACATGCTTCTAGCAGCTGGTCAAGACCAGCGTTTCTGCTCTGCAAAATAAGGCAAAGCAAATATCTCTTAAGAAAACTAACCAACAATTGCAGTTGACTACTAAAGGCCTGATAATACATCATACTAGGGTTCGTGCATCACACTAGGATGTAGTTTGCTTAATAATGGTTTTCTTAATAAACCTCTTGCCTGGACTCATACAACATACTAAATCTTGTTTTAAAAGCACAGTGGCTAGGCTCATTCAACATATTAAACCTGAACTAAAAAACCCAATTATAGTCCAGGGTGCTGTATGTATGAATCTAGCTAGCATGGACACATTAAACATCTGTACTATCAATAGGGAATCTCTTACTGTTCCTTCAGTTGCCACCAGAAACCATATATATATAT